CGACTCTGCGTGGCGAGGCGGCGTCTCTGCGGCGGCTGCGGCTCCTCATGAAGCGGCGGCGGTTCTGAAAGGCGACAGGCGGCTTCTCTCTGGCGGCGGCTCCTATGCGGGCGACCCAGCTTCTGTGCGGGCGGTGGGCGACGGTTCCAGTAGTTGCGCTTCGTGCTGGCGCCGACACAGACCACCTTGCCCTTTGTCGGTGAGGTGAGCCCTGTAGCGCCGACCTGCCCCTCTGACACGGCCATCCCTTCCTTTTGCGAGGGCTGCAGGGCTCCACATCTATACTGACCCTTGCAGATCCACGGGTACCCGTGCTACGGCGGCTGCCTGCAGACCACCCTCCGGCTTGATGGCGCCCTGGAGTTCGTTCTTTTAGTTGCTATAGGTTCTTTTTTTATCTGATTTGATAGTAGGATCTGAAACCTACAGATTCCGAGGTCAGTTCTAAGATGGGGACATGGTATTGTTTTGATTTCAGTTTTGGTTCAAAACTAGTGGCATTGCTGGATTCATTTTCAGATAAGCTACAAATTTAGTGTATTTTTTTTTGTGAGTGCATATCTTTGTGTAGTGATCTGAAAAGGGTTCTTTTTTGTGGTAACAACAGGTCTATATATTTATGATTAGTAGTTGTGAACTAAAATATTTATGTGATATAAAACACATGTGTTCTCGGAATTGTTGGGTCTCACAGCACTTTAGATCATTGCTGAGTTAAGGAACTGGACATTTTGTGATTTCTGCAGATAACATCCATATATAGCTAAATATATTGTTGTACCTTTTTTCAGGTTTGATCTGAGTAGCTTGTGCCTTTTGCTTGGCTGGTAAGCTCCCTTCATTGCCCATGTGAATGGTGAATGTCATTCATTTATAGCTTCCTCCTATGTAAGAATCTGATGGTCTCTAGCAACTTTTTAGGTATGAATTGAGGATCTGTGGAGGCAACGATCGTGTACCGTGGTGTATGATACTAGCATCGATGATTTCAAGCAACAAAGCGATAAGTATCATCAATTGTGCATTTGATTGAGATGACATTTGTGTGTTAGACATTAAGTCGAATGTATCTGTTTGTAAGATGCATGCTTCGTTATATCTTTTTCGACATTAACTACAATGCCTCTATTGGTTGATTGTTGTGCCAATTTGTTGTGAAACTAAAATATGTGTTGTTTCTTGTCCTTGTTATGTGAGAAAGTGTGATATATAGAACAGTACTTGACTTGTCGGGTGGGGGGTGGTGCAACAGGCGGTTTGGGCCTTGCTTGCCAAATCTTGGACTTCATGAGAGTACAAGACCGAGTACAAGACAAAGAGACGCAGAGGCCAAGAATCACGCATGAGTTCGATGATCCAGCTCAAAATAGAGGAGGTTCAAGAAATTTTGTAGACACAACAGTTCTTGGTATGACAAATGCTTGTGTCTTGATTATTTTAGTTAGGAACCGTTGGAATGCGAGGGTTTATAATTCTTGTGCAGCTTATAATTCTGCAGCTAGCTTATTCTAGTTGTGACAAATGCTTGTGTCTTGATTATTTTAGTTAGGAATCGTTGATATCTGTAGCTTATAATTCTTGTGCAGCTTATAATTCTGCGTTTTACAATTTCTGCAGACTTATAATCTGCGACTTATTTCGATTATGACAAATGGTTGTCTTTATTATTTTAGTTAGAACGGGTCAAATCTGCAGCTTATAATTATTGTGCAGCAATTTTTCACCAACGTAGCAATTTATGCAACTTCAATTGCATATTCTGTGAAAATTTTGCTCTAAAAGCTGAATGAATGGGCCCGAATGATGAAAAGTGTCACTTTTAAGGCTTTTTTTTATGTTCATGCTTCTTTGGACAAGGACCGAGATCATGTCATGCTGATGCATGATATTGTTTTTTTCTTTTAGATTGGCTAAGATCATGTTATCTATCTACTGAATGTCAATGTGACCATGCTCCTGTAGTCCTGTTATCTACCTACTGAATGTGAATGTGACCATGCTATCTGCTTATAATCTGACCGATGCATAATTTGTGGTTTTAATCTTACAGGAATCTAAATTTGCCCGAGGGCAGAGTGGGATAAACACATTAACTCCAAGGAGTGCTCCAATCCCTAGCTAGAAAGCACAAAACAGATTGGTATGCTCTGCACAACATGATTTCATTTGTTCTGTAAACTGAATTGAGGCATCCTTTGATATATTTTCCTGTTTCTATGTTATGATGAGTACATGGCATTAGCTCCAGATTAGTGTGAATTGGTGTACTTCCTGGAAATGCTTAAATATATGTCAGAGTTGAGAAAAGATTGTTGTTACTTGATTTGAATTATTTATATATATATATATATACACACACACATGTGGTCAGATTTGAATTTGAATTATTTTTTTTTTCTTTGGAAAATCTGTAGGGGCGGTTTTTGATTGAACCGCCCTTACAAATACACACACAGCAGAGGCGGTGGTGATCTGACCGCTTACACAGAAGTCCACTCTGGGGTGGCTGATATTACCAGCCACCCCTACAGATGGCTTGTAGAGGCGATTGAACACACAGCCGCCTCTGAAGAGGCATGCTGAGGCGGTGAAGCCCCCCACAAAGGCACCCTCTGTAGGAACACCACTAGGAAGAGGCGGTGTGTGGCCGCCTCTCTGAGGCTCTAGAGCCGCCCTACTGATTAAATTCTGTAGTAGTGATAGTGTGTACTTTTGAACGTGTGGTTTGTAATATATTGTGGATTTCGGACAAATTTGGTCGTTTGTGATATATAAATGTGGTTTGTGACATATTGGTGTTGATTTGTGGTTTGTGATATATATATGCTTTGTTGTTTACATGGAAAAGCAAAAAACAAAAAAAAAAATTAGAGGTGGCTTCCCGAGTGCTGTCTTTGTGGCTTTTCGGGAAAGAGGGATTTAAAAAAAAAAATTTCTTCTTTGCGAGTGCACGATTGCGGCTTTTCGGCAAAAGTATTTAAAAAATTCAAAAATCTTTCCCGAGTGTTGCACTCGGGGAAGAAAATCAAAAAAAGGAAAAAAAAAGCGGCGTCGGCCGTCATTAGCGACGTCAAGTCTTTCCCGAGTGTGCCAAGACGGCACTTTCGGCAAAAGCCTTCCCGAGTGCACGATTTTCGACACTCGGGGAAGGTGTCTTTCCCGTGGGAGGATTAGCCGGAGGCTCTTCCCTGAGTGTTGCACTCGGGGAAGGCTTCCCCGAGTACAACTGGGCCTTCCTCGAGTGCAACTGGCACTCGGGGAAGCCAGCAGTTCCTGTAGTGTTTATCTTTATAAGAGACAGAGATAATATATATACTCCATCTCTCTACAAAAGAATATAACTATAGTGTTTATACTGGTCAAACTAATTTAAATCTAATTAAGTTTTTAATAAATAGTATTAACATTTATGACTTCAAAATTTTTTACTATAAAAATATACTTTATAATTAATCTAACTATATTAATTTTATATTAAAAATGTTGGTATTTTTATATAACTTTAGTAAAAAAATTAAACCGTTTGGTTCCTTAAAAAGTGAGAGAATTGCATTATTTTGTGGACCGAGAAACTATGTGACAAGTAGTTCCGGCTCCAAGCTTCAGCCTCGATCAATTCAAGTGTGTTAAATACATGGGTAAAAAAACATCGCAGTCGATGCATGAACTATTCAGCAGTGTGAAAAATAGGACGTGGCGTGGAGATTTCAAACTGGCCCCGGCCGGCTCCAAACTTTCACGTTTTAAACAGGACGGATCGTACTGCATGCATAGGTAATAATACTATACGGTGGGAGTTAGTAGGAGTCTGCTCCTACGCTTTTTAACAAAAAGAACAGAGATGTGCGTAACAAAGCATCCATCGTCATGAATGTACTTCCTAAAGAAATAAACAATAGATCCGTCTGGTGCATGCAGGATGAATGAACATACAAAAAAAAAGTTTAGTGCGCCCATGCATGGTATTGGTGTTGTCCTAACACTAGTAATAATATACGTAAGTCTGATGACGGGTTCTAGTAAAAATCACGAGTAACACATGCACTGCACGTGCCTCCATGAGGCGTGACCCAGAGAGAGAGGAGGGGGAAAAAGTGTTGTGTACTGGGCCGGCCGGCAGGGCAGGGCGGTGGCAGGCGTTACTGTGTTACCGACCCAACCAGTGCATCGACGAATCTTGGGTGCCCTTTGTTGCCAGATGCACGCGTGCGTGGCTGAACAAAACAGGGGAAGCGCGTTGCAGAGAGCGGTCGGTCTCGTGAAGTGCTGTGGCCGGCGGGGGCATTGCCGCGCCAGCCTCCATGGCGCGTCAGTGCCGCGCCCAGATCCGCGACACGGCAGCCCCGGCCACGTCAGCGTTCAGCGGCCCTGGTCGCTGCCACGTCATCGCTCCTACCGCGCCCCCATGCATGGTGCGGCAACGTGATTTGGCCGCGCCATGCGAATAGGCGCGGACAAAAGTGTTAGTTTTGGAAAAAAAAATAAACAGTATCATATTTGAAAATAGTTTCAAAAAAGTGTTAAAAATAAAAAAAAAATCTCCTCGAGGTGCTTTGCTTGTGTCATCGAAGGCCCCAAACCCGAAGCTTCCTCTATCTTCTTCCTACCAAGTTTTCTGTAGCGATGCCAATCACTTTTGTCACACAAATGCCTTGCTTTATTAAGCCGTTTGGGACGCCGTTGTGAACCAGTCCGAATCAACACATAACACAGTTTCTTCACACAAATGCATTTTCTTATTCTTATCTTCATTCGTGCTTATCTTGTTAAAGTTTATTCCTGGCCTCTGGATTAAGTATGACTATACGTCCGTAAGAAACTGCCGGTCTCCAATTCTATCTATATATGTAGGGCGCATCGCACTTGTGTACACATTGAGTTGAGGGCCACTGCTCGCATTAGGCATTATTAGGAAACCACACAACATCCATCTTGACGAGTTTCAGATGGACAGGGAGCCTGTCAATAGTGCTAGTTCCAGTCCAAACTGGGTAGTAGACATGGAGAAGAGGCTAGTGGAAACTGACCTGTTCGGCGAGATGGGGCGTTGGAGCAAGCCCTCGATCTACCGGGTGCCGGAGTGGGTCAAGAATATGACCACCGATAGCGAGCAGGCCGCCTACTACCGGCCGTTGTTGGTGTCACTAGGTCCATTCCACCATGGCAAGGGTCACCTCGCCGACATGGAGAAGCACAAGGAACGAGCGGTGCTGCATATAGTCAAGCGGTCTGGCAAGCCGCTCAGTGAGTTCATCACCGCGATTGAGGGGGTGATAGACGAGCTGCTGGACGCATACGATAATCTGGAAGACAAATGGCGCAAAGCAGAGAGACACCTCTTTGTGAAGATAATGGTGCTAGACGGGTGCTTCTTGTTGGAGATGTTGAAGGTGGTTTCAGATAAAGAAGCACCTCGTGATTACGCGACCAACGATCCAGTCTTCAGCGTGCATGGCATGCTTTGTTTGTGGGTAGGCATCCGGTGTGATATGCTCGTAATTGAGAACCAGATTCCTCTGCTTGCATTGTACAAGCTTGAAGAAATTTGGCGCGGCACGGCACTTCTGGTATGTACATTTAATTAGTGCACTTTATGTATTTTTAGCTCACTATTCATAACACATACCTATTTAAATATACTATAATTTCTATCCAGCTGTGATAGATTATCAATTACTCTATATGTGTTTTTATGTTTAAGTTGCTCTATCTATGTGATTTTCAGTATGTATTTAGTTGAAACCTTAGCTTAAGTTATATCAACTTTTACTTTTAGTGACATTGGTTAATCTACATTTTTGGAATCTTAACTTGTCATGTTAATCTTATTAGTTGTTGTAAACCCTTTTATCCACATCTAAGTTCAAACACATTTAAGGATTAACATGGAGATTGGAGACTCACTTGAAGACATTCCAATTAGTATATTAAGATCAGTATTGTCATGTTTCGCATTGGACCCTTTATGGGTCTTTAATATGTAGTCCCTCCGTTCCAAATTATAAGTCGTTCTGACTTATGTAAAAATCAAAATGACTTATAATTTAGAACGGATGTAGTATTTATTGAAATGATGATTGGAAACATGCCACAACAATTATTATGGTCCAGAGATATACTATTAGTATTCGTCATATTGTAACCCAACCATTAAAGTTTGTTCATCATCTAACAACACCCCACTTTGTATGCTCGGAACACCATCTAGCCCATGTGCACCATATTGTGGTACTACCTCAAATGCCCCTCGTACCTTATTCCCTCCCACTCACAGACACGCAGCTCATGATATGATAGAAAACACTGGCTAGATAAATGCAATTCAGTCCGCTCGAGTTGTTAATACCGATGGTTTAGAAGGAGGTGACGATGATGGGTGGTGGGGCCAGTGAGTAGAAGGGCTGTGCTGGTGAATGTGGGGCCAGTGCACAGAGCATGGCCATGGGACCGACGAATGCGGGCCCAATGTTCAGCACGGTGAGGCTAAGGTCAAGCGTGGTCAAGGCATCCTCAACGACGAGTTCATAGATCTCCATCTCTAGTTGTTGTGATAATTTCTTTCTCTGCTTTCCACCATAGAAACGGCCACTCGATTGATCTACTCCTCAAAGTTGAAATCGACCATGGTGAGCAGCTAATAAGCATCTTGTATGCCTCCCCACTCCCCGAGGCATGCTTCTTCCCATCCATGCCTACACCATGCTTCCCTTTAGATCTAGAGCACACATCCACGGCATCAGGCTAACCGGCCCGTACAATTTGATTCCCACTCCCCAGCCACCCTAATTGGAATCCCTTCATCTCCTCTACCTCCCTATGCCCTTCAATCCAAAAGTGGTGCAGACTCTCCCTACACTATAGCTTGAGTCAAAGAATGTTTCTCAAGGGAGATTGTAACCCTTTGTGCCAATGTCTAGTTAATTGAGCATGAGCGGAAGTAGCATGAGGATTCTCATCAATGTGGCTTTCAAGGTTGTCGAAGGCAGTGTAGAGCCGCACAAGAAGCCACTGGCACATGAGGGCACACCAATATATGACGGTGACACAAAGGAGAAGACCTCATAGATGACGAAAACAAAACACATTAAGACAATCGATGAGGGAGATGGATGGCACCTAGAATGTGCTTGAGGCTGCCATGGAAGAGGCATGCATGAGCTGGGTTTCCTAGGCCTGCGAACACGTCAATGATGAAGGCGCACACCAGTGTTTCCAATACTAAACATAGTTGTGGTGTTGGCTAGGCTGTTCTGATGAGGCCAATGACATTCTTTGAGCGATCCCTACCCAAGTGCTCCTTAATTGCATTGTTTCTCCTTGGGCATCCAGGTTGTCCACCTTCAACCTTTCGCTACCCCAGGAGCCTCAATCATTTTCCCTCCTCATTTAACTCCATTCCCCGCTAGGACAAAAATCATTGATTTTGTAGAGAACACCACTAGCTTGTCGATTGTCAAGGTTTTGCCCGAAAGCAACTAGACGCAGGGGCCATCTAGGCTACCGAAAGCTAGATTGTGTGAGAAAAGGAGCTAACAAGGTGCAAGCTTGGAGTGGAAGGTGCAGAAGCTTAGCACAATCCACGGGAGAGGATGCCCATGCTGCATGGCAAAACGTAGCATCTTTGGCTTGAGAAGTGAAGCGCATTAGCCACTATTCACCCTACCCACCAAAAGGGTGATAACTAGCTAGCCTAGTTTGGATTATGGCAACGGTCATTATCTTTGATGAGGGGCGGCCAGGTATGTTGATATAAATGCACCATACATAACTTGGTGTGCCATATTCCTTGTGCTTCGTGTCAAGGGGTGCAAACACTTTGAGCGCGTCTGTTCGCTCAAGAATCACCTAACGTTATATTTCTGGATAAGGACAATATAGATTGAAGGAGTCTTTTCTAAGGCCTTCATTAATCTTTTTTAGAACGTCTCGGAGAGGGCCCTGACCTAAGAGGTGGCACAAATTTCTTCCAGGGCTCAGACTATGTTGAGGCCTGATAGGGTTTTCAGCTAATGCTGCAGCTCTAGAGCCCTGACTTCTTCGAAGGGAATATAGAGGTGGAAGAACATAGGGACGAAACCTAGATGTGATCTCTTCATCCCTCTGAGCCTTAGCGCACTCTACTTTTGCTTTATGCTTCTTAGAATATAATATCGGGCATGGGCATTTTTGCTCGTTTTGTGCACGACACGCTGTAGTTTGTCCCAACGGGCGGCCCAATTGTTAGGGAATCTTTTTTGAAACGATGCACTTGATATTACTCAATCACCACAGCTGACTCGCTGGACACCCGAGCCTCAAGTTCACGAGGTACATCATCCGAAGTAGTTTGGGAACCACTGGGCAATTTACAACCAATAACAGCTAATTCATGCGCTAGACTATTACAGGAACGAGGACATGCATTTAACCAGAAACCACTAGCAAATGTTTGAGCTCTGTGATCACGCCCCCCATGGCAGACAAGAGGTAGTCATCCTCTTCCATTGTCGTCTTCACCATCAGAGCGTTTGTTTCAAGGTTAATCACCGCAATCCCCAACGAAGCAGCCGCTCTCAGTCCGACCACACACCCTAGGAGTTCAGCATGGATAGCATCCTGCAGGTGTTCTTCCAAGCCAGCCCCCGATTTCACCGATTTCAGCACAGCACCAGTCTCATCTCTAACCGCGAAGCCCCATCCCCCATCACCACTTCAGGTAATGAAAGCTCCGTCAAAATTGGTTTTGAATTTTTGATCTCTCCCGGTCCAGGCTTCCTCCATCTATTTATCTGTCGACTTTCTGACAATAGGCGCCTAGCCGGATTCGCATTCAGTCTGTCAGTTTCAGAAGCAGTCATGACTCCGTCTGCCTTCCTCCCTCCATTTGTTTCTCTTCCCCCACCATATCCATAGCAACAGGACGACCGTAGTTTGCACAGGCGGCTTCCGTTTGAGCACCTTCTCCATCATTTCCTTCGTGGACCCGGCCTCAGCAAGGTTCCAGCGCACATTTTCTAGGTTCAGCTCACGCCATACGCCCTTCACCTCTTCGCATTTCAACAGAAGGTGTGCACCATCCTCATCCATCCTTCCGCACATACAACACTTAGTATCAAGTTTCATGCCCCATTTTTGAAGCACTTTCCTTACAGCCAAGGTATTGTGGCCTAGTCTCCATAGAAAATGTTAAACTTTTTGGTGGGCTTTCAATCTTCCAAAGCTGCTTCCAGAAAAAATCCCTTGCTCGACTTTCCTCGGATCCCCCAGCCTAGCTTTCTGTGCTTTTCTTGCCTCAGCAGCTCTGTGCACCTAATAATAAGCAGATCGTAGTGAGAACCGACGACCTTTGTTGTCATAGTGCCAACCCACTCCATCCTCCATTTCCACGTGATTGGGTAGTAGTGACTGGATTATCCGGATGTCAATCTCCCAAAAGGTTTGAGACAGGAGTTGAGTGTCCCATTGTTCAGTTATCAGGTCAATCAGCTCTTCTACATGCTATAGTAAATTTCTTACCCTTGGTGTAATTGGCTTCCAGGTCACATCCCTAGGGTGCCATGGGTCTGCCCAGATCTTGATATTCCATCCATTCCCCACCCTCCAAATCACCCCCTCCTTGAGCACTTCGATTCGTTGCAAAACACTTCTCCATTTGTAGGAACATCCTACTTTTGAGGAATGGATACAAATAGCAATATAGTCTAGGATATATTAGGAGTCCATATCACCTGTCTCCCCAAGGCTTGGACCATGGGGTTGTTTATTTGAATGAAGTCCATTTAGGAGTCATGATGGGAATATACTGTGTTATACCCATGTGTTCCATGGAGGTATCAATCGGGTATAGTTGGGGGGCTTTTCAAGTCCTTGGCTGTAGGCCCATCTTTTAAGATTCAAAGACAAACCTCGGGTCTAGTTCTAACAGGTGTCATCTTCTTGATCAGCTGGCACGGGGGGATGGGCATCCTGCTTCCACATTCTTGGCATCCCCTTTTGGGGTCGTTTCTCTCTTTTGAAGGGGTTTCATCCCTCTGCTCCTCTGAGACAACTTTGGCTGCCTTTGGAGTGTTAATTTGGCTTGGGCCTCCACCTTGTCTTACGATGAATTTTCTACAGGTGCGGTGAGGGGTCCATTTCCCATGGGTGACCTCTTATTTCCTTTGGTCCTTCAAGATGGCTCATGTGCCTCCCGGCATCTTTCCCATCCTCTTACAAGGCAGTGCTTTAGGATTCGCATTTCTTTCGTCGTCTTGGAACTCATCTAGGACCATCAGATTGGCCTTCTAAGCACTCGGTCCTGAACTTCCCCTCTACTCTCCTTCTTCATTCCTCCTGTGGTTGAGGGTCGCTGATCTTCAAAGGTCCTTTCCTCCGAACGTCCTCTGTCAGTCCCTATGCTTCTTACTTGACCCGAGGGGCCCCAAGCAAGGGTTGTCTTTCCTGGTTGTTGAATCACTTCCAATGGAGGCTACAGACTGCTTTCGCAACAATATGTGTTTAGTGGACTATTTTAAGGTGTCCATTCATTTTAGATTACACAAGGCTGGTCTTTGCTCCTCAACTAGGTTTTCTGTCTTTTGCATATACCATACTTTACCGAGGACAGAAATTGATGGTCAATTTTTAAAAAAAATGTTTGACTTAATTATTAGAACAGCACTATATAAATTTATATTTATGATCAGAAATAGTAACATGTATGTCACCTTGGCTCTTATACTATCTCCTTGTCAACCATGATCATAGAGCGCAAGAGACATCAATAATTTGGTGCTTAATTTTGTGTGGGACCCACTCGAGGACAAAGACAAGCAAAGGGATCGTATTGTCGACGACAAACTGTGTCTCCACCCCCTGGACATTTATCATAAACACTTCTGTGGTCTCCATCCGGCCACACAAGGAACAAAAATGAAGTGGGAGCCGAGCATGCACTGTGCTGTAGAACTCAAAGAAGCAGGGATCCATTTGAGGAAGTGCAACAACACTAATGTCATGAATTACAAAAGTCGTGTGCTTAGCTTACCAACAATCTCCATTGGCCATGATGGCACTGCGAAAATCTTCCTTAATATGATGGCGTTTGAACGGCTACATAGTGACGCCGGGAGTGAGGCGACAGACTATATGATCTTCATGGACAACATCATTAACTCTGAAAGAGATGTCGCACTGCTGAGATCCAAAGGGATCATCAAGAACTTGTTGAGCAGCGACAAAGAGGTGGCACAGCTGTTCAACAACCTGAGCAGGGGGGCGGTGTTGAACCCATACAGCAGGCTGCACGAAATTCGTCGAAAGGTGAATGCACATTGCGGGAGGCCTTGGAACAGGTGTTGGGCCATCTTCCGGTACACCTACATGAGGAACCCGTGGGCTTTCATTTCCCTCATGGCTGCTGCAATCCTCCTCATCGCCACCCTCCTGCAGACCATTTATTCTGTCATGGGCTTCTACAAACCCTGAAGGATGGAGCATACATCACAAGACAACTCCACAAGCGTGGTTTCTATCTTAAGTGTATACATGAACACGCATGTTGTCATGCATCAAACTTGCACTCTGTATCCAGTTTACGTACTGTTTGTGATGCAGTACATGTAATTTGGTGAGTAAAATACTTGTGGCACAGTATGAGCCTGCAACATATATGGTGTTTATGTATATCATTCATTCAGTGAGTGTAATTTTGTGATAAATTTTAATGTCTCCATCAAACTTCGACCCAAGTAAAAATCAAAACTTATGTATATGAACAAGGTTCGGTTAGGGTCAATTTGGTATAGCTCCAGTTTCAAAACTCATGGGCTGGAGCTTAGAATGTGTGGACGAGTGATATATCTATTTTAATGTCACCATAAAGCCCGGTAAGAGAATAGAGATGGGCTTCTGACTGGGCTGGTAGCTGGGCCACTATTTTTTGAGGCGGTCCTTATAGTGTGCCCGCCTCCAAAAATAGATTTACGGAAGCGGGCTCTTTAAGACGACCGCCTCCGAAAATAGGCCATTTTTGGAGGCGGTTGTCTTAAGGCGTCTGTCTCCGTAAATCGATTTTTCAAGGCGGGCAATAACCGTGGCGGTTGGAT